CCCTCTGTCCTTTCCCCACTCCCCATTGTCCTCATCCATAGGTGCACAGTTTATGTTCAGTCTCTTCCCACATCTCCCTCTCCCATTTTCCCCAAGAATCGTCAGTTCATTCCCCTTCCATACCTCTGATTCTATAATATTCAACAGTTAATATTTTTTTAAAATAAATTTTTATTGTTCATATTATTACAAATGTTCCTTAGCCCCCCTTCTCACCCCACCCTCTGCCCTTTCCTCACCCCCCATTGTCCTCATCCATAGGTACACAGTTTATGTTCAGTCTCTTCCCACATCCCCATCTCCCCTTTTTCCCAAGAATAAACAGTTCATTCCCCTTCCATACCTCTGATTCTATTATATTCAACAGTTAATATTGTTCCTCAGATTTTTTTTTTTTAGTTTCCTTGGTTTTTAGATTCACTTGTTGATAGTTACGTATTTGTTGTTCATAATTTTTATCTTTATTTACTTTCTCTTCTGAAAGAACCCCCTTCAGCAATTCATATAATTCTGGTTTGGTGGTGGTGAACTCCTTTAGCTTTTTTTTTATTAGTGAAGCTCTTTATCTGATCTTCGAATCTGAGTGATAGCTTTGCTGGATAGATTATCTTTGGCTGTAGGTTCTTGCTATTCATCACCTTGAATATTTCTTGCCATTCCCATCTGGCCTGCATGGTTTCTGTTGAGAAATCAGTTGACAATCGTATAGGTGCTCCTTTATAGGTAACTACCTTCTTTGCTCTTGCTTCTTTTAATATTCTCTCTTTGTCTTTTGCTCTTGGAATCTTAATTATGATTTGTCTTGGTGTGGTCCTCTTTGGATTCCTTTTGTTTGGAGTTCTGTGCGCTTCCTGGACTTGTAAGTCTAATTCTTTCACCAGGTGGGGAAAGTTTTCTGTCACTATTTCTTTCAGTATGTTTTCGATATCTTGCTCTCTCTCATCTTCTCGGACCCCCATAATTCTGATGTTGGTTCCCTTAAAGTTGTCCCAGAGGTTTCTTACATTATCTTCAATTTTCTGGATTCTCTTGCCTTCTAAATTCTGTGGAGGAGTGTCTTCTGGCTCTTTATGTTCCAAATCTTTGACTTGATTCTTGCGATCTTCCATTCTGTTTTAGGACTCTGTATAATATTTTTTATTTCAGACAATGTATTCTTTATTTCTTGTTGATCCCTTATCATTTCTTGTTGATCTCTTATAATTTCTTGTTGATTCCTTATTAATTCTAGTTGATCTCTTTTCATATCCTCATAGGTCTTATCCATCTTTTCTAGGAAATTCTTGAAAAACTGTATAAGCGTAGATTTGAACTCTATATCCAGTCGCTTTTTGTCCTCCATTTCCTTCGTTTGTGATATATTTCGTTGTCGCATTTTGCAGCTACAGATGGGACAGGGTTTCAGGGTGGAGCCTACAGCCTTGGCTTCCGTCAGCCCAGCCCTATGTGGTTCCTGGGTCTTAGTAATCCCCAGGGTCCTTCAGTACTCCATTGCAAGCGCCTCTGAGAGAAAGGTGCCCTCGATTTTCGCCTGCTACCAAACAGTCTAGGCTTTCCCCCAATGAGCCCGGTACTGGGGTTCAGTTCAGTTGGAAGTGGAGTTGGAGGTGGCGTTCAGAGCAGACTGGAGCCCCAGTCTCCTTCCTGTCAGGGCAATCTCGTGGCACAGCTGACTGTCCCTTCTCTGCGCGCAGTGTGCGTGCCTCCGGGACCTCCTTTCGCTGCTCCCCGGGGTTCCGCCTTACAGCCCAGCTCCCTCTGTGTGAGCCTGGGTCTCCGGGGTCTGGCCTAGAACTGGTGTTCAGAGCAGTCAGAACTGGGGCCCAGCACAGTTGAAGCTTTTATCTCCTTCCCGCTAGGGAACGCCAGCCAGGCACTCAGCCGCCCTCCTCTCTGGCTCCGTCCTCTCCGCGCCGCATGTCTCCGTACCTCAGGTTTTTACAGCTCCTCCGCACTTCCTTCTGGTTTTCTCCTTGCTTCTTGTTGTAGAATTTCCAGTCAGTCGACTTTCCTGTAGTTCTGGGTAATGTCCATTTTATATTTTAGTTGTATTTTATTGAAATTGTTGTGTGCGGCTGTGGCTAGGTGTCTACCTGAGCAGCCATCTTGGATTCCACATCCAGGGTTTTTAAATAATTTTTGAAAAATTTGCCAGTTTCATCCACTGTGTTTTGGAAGTGAAGATTTTCCAAACTGCTCACTATAATATTTTAGAAGTAACACCTTCTAAGAAAATTTTAAAAGAATTAAGATATCTTCTACTTGTCTAACCAGACAAGTTCCAGTCAGAAGTCTAAGACAGTTAATAAGGCATTATTGTTGTTGTTATTATTATTATTATTATTATTATTAACTAGAGGCCAGTGCATGAAATTTGTGCACGGGGAGGGGGTCCCTCAGCCCAGCCTGCACCCTCTAATTGGGACCCCCCCCCCCCCCAGGGATGTCTGACTGCTGTTTTAGGCCCCATCCCACCTAAACCGGTAGTCAGACATCCCTCTCATAATCCAGGACCACTGGTTCCTAACCACTAACCTGCCTGTCTGCCTAATGCCCCCAACTGCCCTCCCCTGCCAGCTTGATATTGCCCCCAACTCCCCCCTGCCCCCCCCCCCCCCCCCCGGCCTGATCACTCCTAACTGCCTCTGCCTTGACCCTCACCACCATGGCTTTGTCCAGAAGGAAGTCACACATCTGGAAGATGGCCAATCAACCCAGTCTAATTAGCATATTACCCTTTTATTAGTATAGATAAATTGTATAGATAGGATTGCTTAAATGGGTAAAAGAGGGGAAGCCTTTTTCAGCAGAAGGAAATGTTCTTGACAGACAAAAGTTAATCCTTATATCTGGACTGATAGCCAGCCATATGTATTATACTGCCAAACTGGTCATTAAAAAGTTGAACCTTACATCAAACAGCTGTTGCCCTTAAAACCCCTCCTCAGCCCCAGCATAGGTTCTGCCTTTGCAGTTCATCCAAATTAGGTTCTGATTGGTCCGTTTCTATGACATTCAGCGTCAAAAGTTCCACCTCCTAGGCAGCCATTGGCTCCTCTGGGAAATCCAGAATGGCCGCACCTTCATGTTAGCATCAGCCCTTCAATCATGCCCCCCCCCCCCCCGTCCACAACTGGGTATATTTCTGGCTGCTCTGAGAAGTGGCACCTCAGGTCTGTGCTGGTAGCAATTTTGAATTCTCATCCCTGCCCTAACCTTCTTACAGTGCAAGCTCCATAAAGGCAAGCATTTGTCTTGTTCATTCTTAGTTCACTCATAGAATTTACCTGTGTCTATACATCTATGCTAGCACTGTATGGTGACTGGTCAAACAGTCATTTCAGTAGTATTGGTCTCTCTCTCTCTCTCTCTCTCTCTCTCTCTCTCTCTCTCTCTCTCTCTATATATATATATATATATATATATATATATATATATATATATATATAATTTTGTATCCTAATAATAACCAAAACACTATATTTACAAAAGAGAGGTATTGAAATTGACTTGGTTTTATTTCTTGCACATTTGTCTTAGAAAAGACTTAAAATATTTACGTTTAAATTTTCTGAAAACATTTTTAACAATGTAAAAGAAGCTATACCTAATTTATTTCTATATTGTTAAAATATATGAAATACATGAAATCCTTTGGTAAAAGTTAAAGTTACCAGTACATAAAATACTAAATAAAATATAGACCACTACTAGAAATGTTTCATGATTTGATAAAAAGATAAAAACTTTTGTGTTTAAATTAAAACAAGTAAACAAGATTTTATACAACATAGCTATTCATTTTAAGAATTAGATGAATTTAATAAAAAAACACTATGTATGTTTATACCATATATACATGTTGTTATATTATATTATATTTTTAATAAATACCTAAAGCATTAAAGGGGAAACTCATTAAGGTAAGATTGATAAAGAGGTTTTGTCCCAATGAAGAAGAGAAAGAAGAACATTTGAAGTTGAGAGATTCACATCTAAAAAGGTACAGAACTACAAAAGTACCCAATGCATCCATGAAACAGCAAGTGACTGGAATGTGGGGGAGATGGGTAAAATTCTGAAATAATGGAGGAAAATTCAGTTGATGCTATTGTGAAGGGTATTCAAAGTCTCACTAAAAGAATATGGAATTCACCAAAACCAGTTTGGCTCAGTGGATAGAGCATCAGCCTGGGACTGAAAGGTCCCATGTTCGATTCCGGTCAAGGGCATGTACCTGGGTTGTGGGCACATCTCCAGTGGGAGGTGTGCAAGAGGCAGCTGATCAATGATTCTCTCTCATTAATGTTTCTAACTATCCCTCTCCTTTCCTCTCTGTAAAAAATAAATAAATAAAAATAAAAATAAATAAATAAATAAATAAATATATAAATAAAATATATATTAAAAAAAAAAAGAAAAGAATATGGAATTCACCTACCAAGTAATATTGGAAATGACTTGATAAAAACTACATGTGAGAATGATAATTCTACAGGCAAACTAAAGGGTAAAGTTGTGAACAGAAGGGAAAACAAGTTGAATGTAGGTTGGGTGCATTGTTTGACTCATTTCTCACCTATAGAAACAGAGTTCATCTCCATTTGATATTAAGATGAAATATTTTCAATGAAATATGATGTTTGTAAGAATATTGTTAACTTCTAGAGTTCTCTTTTAAGACATTTAAACATAATAAAAAGATATATAATGTTAATACTTATATTTCATAAGGGAAAAAATAAACACAAAATAATATTTAAAAAAGTAAAAGAAGGAAAAAATTTGGTACCAGACTCTGACATTAGCCAAGTTCTTGGCAATGCTTGCTAGGTAATGTCCTGTTTTCCCATTATCCATTAAATGAATAGGTTAATTAAGACTTTAAAAGTCCCACTCAGATTTAAGTTGAACACTTGTTGGTTATTTTCTTAAATCCACCATAGAAAATTGTACAAGTCAACTTAATTGGCATGTTCATGCAAAATATTTTACTTTACCCAAATAGAAGCAAATAAATCACCGATACTAGTTCCAAATTCCTGATCTTTATACTTTTTGTCCATTAAATTAGGCTTTCGGTGTTTCCCAGATTTTATCCTTGATATACCTAAATGTTAACAAGCAAAAGAATCTTATGACATGTTCAAGTAAGAATAAAAAAATATGAACAATAAAATGGTAATAAATACATATCTATCAACAATTAAATCTAAAAATCAAAATAAATGAACAAAAAATCTATGAACAAAATAAACGGATGAATAAAATAGAACCAGAGGCATCAGACTTGGAACAGACTGAGGAATCTCAAAGAAAAGGTGGGAGTAAAGGATGGGAAGAGATTAACCAAAGATTTATATGCATATATGCATTACCTTTGGACACTGACAATAGGGTAGTGAGGGTTGGGAAATGAGTGGGGGGGGGGGATGGGGAGGAAAATGGGGGACATATATAATACTTTCAACAATAAAATTAAAAAATAATAAAAATAAAACACATGTGAAACATATACACACACATCCTAATAAACCTAGTTTGTCTTTGCCAAGTGAGCTATTTTTGAACAAGCTAAAGTCAATCTAATTAACTAAAAGGTACATTCTTCCTACAGTGCCCTTCTAAAGAACATACTGTTATAATGAAAATTTTCCAATAGCTAAGCCATTAAATACTTGAAACTCACTCCTATGACTGAGTAAATGGATTTCTAATTTAATTTAAAATTTAAATAGCCACAGGTGGCAAGGTTCTACACTATACAGTATAGTCCTACAATATAAAATAGTAGTCTTTAATGCTAATAAAACATTTTGTGCCAATAAAATGTACTATTATAAAGAGAATATATTATTTCTCTGTTTTTAAAAGAATTTTAATAATTTTTATTTTATACTAGAGGCCCTGTGTGCAGGTATGGTCCCTAAGCCTGGCCTTTGATCAAGACCATCTTCTCCAGCTGCTGCAAGCTGGCCCCATCCCCCACCATCTACCACCCCCGGGTTCCACATTCGACTTTGCTTTGGGTGATCAGTGCCTGACAGCTGGGGGAAGGGACCAAGAGGTCGGCTGTTCCTGCCCACTTGCCGGCCCCGCCTCCACCTCAGGTGGCCATCAGGCCATTGGAGCCTGTCAGCCAGGGAAAGCAACCAACAAGTGATCAATGTGCCTCATAATGACTAGTCCAGCAGTCATTCTGCCATTAGGGTCAATTTGCATACTACCCTTTTATTATATAGGATTACAACAATTCCATGAGGTAGTACATATATTAAATAATGAGAAGCCTGGTGCACAAATTTGTGCATGGGTGGGGTCCAACCAGCCCTGGCACCGATTGGGGGTGGGAGAGCTGGTTGATGGGGGGGTCTAGTCTGGGGGAGGGACTGTGGGTGGTTGGCTGGCCAGCCCTTCCGCCTGGTGGAACTCCCAGTTGAACTCCTGGTGGAAGGGAAAATTTGCATATTAGCCTTTTATTATATAGGATGCTAGATAAATAGATATCTTTCTTTAAGAAAACTTATAAACTCTATATATAAACCATTTTTTTCAAAATAAATGACAAGGAGCAAAAAAAATATTCACTTATGAAAGTCTGGTACATAAATAAAATAGTATCTGGCCACACAAGGCATCATTTGTTCTGATAATACTATCCCATGTCTCTGTATATATTCTGGAAATGAGGGGGTGGGGACAGGGGAAGTGAGGGTGGGTCGAGGAGCCTACAGTCCTTTAGTTAAATGAATTATAACAGTATAGTCACCTTTTATATGCCGTGGAAAGCATGAAAATCCTATTAATGTAGACCATGCTATAACTGTGACAAAAACAAAGCGAATCCACCAAGTACCGAACCAGTATTTATTAAAAAAACCGGTATCAACTCTAATAGAGAAAAGCAAAAAAATTTAAGTTTGTGTATTTTATTACAAACAAAACCACAATCTAACAGAGAAAGAAACATAAAGAGAGAAATGAAACATTTTCTATTAATTTGTCCCTTTTGTTTTCTTTGCTGAGAATGAATAATTGACCTATGGACCAGGAGGTTATGCTTTGATTCTGGAGTCTTTCAATTATGGAGTTCCCTTTTGTCTTGTGTTTTGTCCTAAGTTTTTCCCTTTCTTTTTTCTCTCCTGTCCACTCAAGCAGTGATGAGTAATTCTTTAGTATTTTTAAAACTTTCTTCTCCAACAGAAGCTAAGCATTTGGAAGACTTTTCCTTTAAATCTCACCTCTCCTTTAAAATCAGTCTTGCCACTTTAAATCATGTACCTAGGCCTTTAGTGAAAACCTCCCCTTTAAGTTGCACAATTAACCCTTTAAATCACGTTTATTAGGAAATCTCTTTCTTATATTGCCTTCTCTGAACTCTCAGACTAAGAGTGAGTTACTTTCTAGTGATCATACCTAATCAACCTCAGGACCTGTCATTTTTCTTGCTCCACCTTTCTAAACCACAAAGCCTTACAGGGGAAGAGTGGGGTGGGAGTGTGAAGGATCCTGTGTTGGGATTTTAAAATTTTATCTTTTTTAATCACAGATTATAATTTCAGCATTCTTTGTCTTCCATAATACTGAGACTATGATCTTGTTGAGAATTTTCATAGTTGTGAAGTTATTTTGTATAATTTAGGGAGGAGATTTAGGGAAGTTGATTACTACACAGCAGCCACTGTCTTCAGTTTCATACACATTTAAGACTTTGTCCAACCAGCCATCATGGAGAAATGCCCACAACCCCAGGAACCACAGGTTTGGAGGTGCTGGTTTCTCACAGGTGACTTTATTGCCAACAGACACCCGATGAGTAGCTTGCTTATAGGTCTTATCTCTCATAGAATGTGGACCAACTTTTTATCCATTGCTATATTACTCAGGGATACCAATTTCAAAGTGCAATGACACAGGATTGCAATCTTGATTTCCATTGTATAGTATGCTATGCCTAGAACGTTTCAACTCCAGATTGCCAATAGGGTTACAAGTTTTCTTATTTTTATAATTTTTAGGAATTTTATTAGATTCACTTTTGAACCCAGTATATATTCTAACTATATTCATTATATTGCATATAATATGATAAAAGTTATACACATTCATGTGAATAACTGAGTATCTAAAAATTAAGGAAAATAAACTTTAAAAAAACTACAAAGTATAAGCAAAGAATTTAATAAAGTAATAGATATAAGACAAATTTAGAAATTAATATCAAAATCAAATATAATTTACTAATAAAAGTAAATAATTAGTAAATGTCATAATACAAAGATTCCAGATTCCATGCACAACACTAACAGAATATATGAAATCAGTAGAAATAAACTTCATAAGATATCTTCAATAAATAAAATCATAAAACTTTAGTGAAGGGCATAAAAGAAATGTTGAGAAAATAGAGCAATATACTATATCAATATATTCTTACATAGTCAGTTAACAGTTATTCCCAATTTGACACAAAAATTCAAGTATTTCAAATTAAAATGCTTTGATTATAACATGAGATTATTAAATTTATCTGAAAAGTAATTTTGCAAACACAGCCCCTGACTTTTAATGAATAATTATGAGTAGAGTCTTATTCATCAAAATAGCAAATTATATGATAAAGCTTAGTTAATAATATAAGTAGTTATATTTATTTTTATATATTTTTCTTGATTTCAGAGAATAAGGGAGAGGAGAGATTGAAATATAAATGATGAGAGAGACTCATTGATTGGCTGCCTCTGTAGGCCCCCTACTGGGGATCAAATCAAAACACAGGCATGTGCCCTGACCAGAATCAAACCATAACCTCCTGGTCCATAGGTCAACACTCAACCTCTGAGCTACACTGGTCAGACGCAAGTTATATTTAGTAGTTATATTTAAAATGTTGTAGTATTGGCATTAAATAGAAAAATATGTCAGATGTCCTGCCAGCAATGTGGGTCAGTGGTTGAGTGTAGATCTATGAACCAAGAGGTCACAGGTTTGATTTCCAGTCAGTGCACATGCCCAGGTTGCATTGTAGGGCTTGCAGGAGGCAACCAATCAGTGATTCTCTTTCATCATTGATGTTTCTATCTTTCTCTCCCTCTCCCTTCTCTGAAATCAATAAAAAAAAATTTGTTTTTTAATGGGGAGAGCATAAGATGGAGGATGGCAGGACAGAGCAAGACACCCATTGTGTCAAAACAAGCCAAAGGAAAATTGTTTGGGCAGAAAATGAAAAATGATCCAAAGTCAAATTTATTAAAAATATTCCTTTATTAACTTTTGGTCAAAAATATGTTTGTAGCCGGGACTGGTTTGGCTCAATGGATAGAGCGTCAGCTTGGGGACTGAGGGGCCCCGGGTTCTATTCCGGTCAGGGGCATGTGCCTTGGTTGCGGGAGTATCCCCGGTGGGGGATGTGCAAGAGGCAGCTGATTGATGACTCTCTCTCATTGATGTTTCTAACTCTCTATCTCCCTTTCTCTCTGTACAAAAATCAATAAAATATATTTTTTAAAAAAAATATGTTTGTATATTTTCAGAAAACAACTCCAAGATCATGTGGATACCTGCAACATAGAGGAATTGACAGGACTGCTCCAGCCATGAAGACAGAAGAGAAGCAGTCCAGAGATGGAAGATGCTGACGTCACCTTGCCATACTAGCAGTCAGCAGCTGTGCATCACTGCAGGTTGCCCAGGACCAAAACAGAGAGGGTCAGACCTGCATTGCCTCCATTTGTCCACCATTCAGAAATGAAATATCATTGCTGACATGTACACATAAGGAACTATCTGGCATTGATATTGGGACTCAAAAGAACTGTTGGCCCAGAATGAAACTCTCTACAGATTGATTCATTTGCCTCCCAGCATAACCATTATTGCTTGCCTCATTTTTGGTTCTTATAAGTATATTTTTTTATATCTCATGATCTCACTCATCTAGGGGAAATAGTGAACAACATAAACTGATGAATAAAGACAAACCCGGAGACAGGGAAGCATTGATAAGATTGTCAAACCTCAGAGGGAAGGTGGGGGAGGGTGGGAGAAAGGGGGAGAGATCAACCAATAGACTTGTATGCATGCATATAAGCCTAACCAGTGCTCATGAACAACAGGGGGCTGGGGGCATATGTGGGGAGGAGTATGGGATGGTAATAGGAGGATGAGGACAAATATGTGATATCTTAATCAATAAAAAAATTTTTTTTAAATGTCAGAAATGGATTAGACAAATAAGAGAGAAGGAAAAAAACACATTTATGGGAAATGTAATGTATGATAAAAATGGTATTTAATATCAGTAAAAACAAAAATTGAAAAAAAAAGGAAATGATCCAAAAAGTCATTAGTACAATTAGCTATTTCTTTGAGAGAAAATAGAATCTTGGCCCATGCCTCCTATTATAGGCAAAAATAAATTGAAATTAGATGGCTACTACCAAAAAACAAAACAGAAAATAACTAGTGTTGGCAAAGATGTTGAGAAATTGGAACCCTTGAGCACTACTGGTAGGAATATAAAATGATATATCTACTATGGATAGCAGAATGAAAATTCCTTTTAAAAATTCCATTTCTGCCCCTGGCTGTTGTGACTCAGTTGGAGTGTCCTCCAGTTTGGGTTCAATTCCCGGTTAGGGCCTACACCGGTCCCGATTGGGGTGCAGTTGAGAGGCAACCAATTAATGTCTCTCTCTCTCTCTCTCTCTCTCTCTCTCTCTCTCTCTCTCTCTCTCTCTCTCTCTCTCAAAAAAAAAAAATCAATAAGCATGCATATCCTTGGGTGAGGAACTTTTTTTAAACAAGCCAAAGAAAAATTGGGAATATATCACAAAGGATTGAAAATAGAATCTCAAAGAGATATTTGCACACTTATGGAAATTGCAGAATTATCCACAATAGCCACAAATAGAAAGTAAACTAAATGTCCACTGTCAGAAGAATGAATAAAGAAGAAAATTCTATCATACACTACAATATGAATGAAACTTGAGGACATTATGCTAAGTGAAATAAGTTAGTCATAAAAAGACAAATAATTCATGGTTCCACATATATGAAATATCTAAAGTAGTCAAACTCTTGGAAACAGAAAGTAGCATGGTGATTGCCAGGGGCTGGGGAGATAGGGAAAAAAGGGAAGTTGCTGTGCAACAGATAAAAATTTTCAGTTTAGGAAGATAAAAAGACCTAGATATCTGTTGCACAACTAAGTACATATAGTTAACCCTGTACTGTACATTTAAGAAATGGCTAGGATGATAAAGTTTATGTTACATGTTTTTTTTACCACAATTAAAAAAAAATTATATGCAGAACTAGAGGTCTGGTGCACAAAATTCGTGCACAGGGAAGGGGAGAGAGATCCCCTCAGCCCAGCCTGCATCATCTCCAATCCGGGACCCCTCATGGGATGTATGTACGACTGCCAGTTTGGGCCTGATCCTATGGATTGGGCCTAAACCGGCAGTCAGATCCCTTTCACAATTCAGGACTGCTGGCTCCTAACTGCTCACCTGCCTGATTGCCCTTAACTGCCTCCTACCCCCCAATCCCCCACTGGCCAGCCTGATCACCCCTAACTGCCTTTGCTTGCCAGCCTGATCACCCCTAACTGCCCTCACTGCTGGCTTGGTTGCCCCAAACTGCCACCCCCACCCCCACTTACCTGATCACCCCTTATTACCCCCAATGCCTGCTTGGTCGCCCTCAACTGCCCCCTTCTACCAGCCTGGTAGTCCCTGACTGCCCCCCCCCCCCCCACTAGCCTGGTCACCCCATGCATCCTGCTGTTCAGTCATTTGGTCGTCCCTCACTATCCCCCTGCCGGCCTGCTCACCCCACACAGCCTGTTGTTTAGTTGACTATTTGGTTGTTTCAATCATGATGGCCCCTGGCTTTTAATATATTAGGATTACTAGTTAGCTTGTCATTCTAAGTGGTGTTTTTTTATATTCTATATCAAATAGTACCATAAAAACACACATTTTAGATGTGATTTATATGTACATATATATGCATATCAGTCACATTTACATATATTTTTTTAAAATATGGTCATTAAAAATTAAATGTATCATACATAATAAAAGTGTAATATGCTAAGTGTCTGATCAATTGGTTGACCATTTGGTCAAATGCTTGACTAGTCGCTATAATGCGCACTAACCAGGGGCCAGGTGCTCTGAGCAGTAGGTAAGCTTGCTGCTGGGGTCCGGTCAGTGGAGACTGGGCAAGAGAGCTGGACATGCCTTGGAACCCTCTTATGGTTCCTCCCAAGCTGGCTGGCTTCCATCAGTCCCGATCTGGACTGGGTGAGAGGGCCATGATTGGCCATGATCACAGGCCAGGATGAGGGACCCCATGGGTGAACAAATTTGTGCACTGGGCCTATAGTCTATTTATAAGCTAACGTGTCTATTGAATAAATACTTTACATAATGTAGGCAAAAAAAGGAAAGAAAATGGCTTACCTTTCAATAATACTACTCTCTGGGGTGGTAACCAATGGTGCTACTATCGCATGACCGAAAGCATATCCAATTGTTACTGAAGCTTCCATTAAGCCTATAAAATGAATATTAAACATCAAACTACTATAGTATAAGCAAGCTTTGCCACAAGATAATAAAAGTTACATCACTAAAATGGATTCCTTCTTAAAGCTTCATAGTATACTTTATTAGTCAGGGTGCTCTAGAGAAATAGAACGAATAAGGATTTGTGGGTGTGTGTGAAGTGATTTCTGAACAATTTTTTTCCCCCTGCAGGTGACCATCTCCTGTTTTTCTGATCAATATCTCTCAGTGGGAATTATTTTTTCTACTTTCTTTTTAATTTTTTTTATTGTTGGCACTATTATAAATAAGATATATAGAGAGTAAGAGAGATATTAAGGAATTGGCTTATGCAACTGTGGGAACTGGCAAGTCCAAAAATGTGCATGATAGTCTGGCAGATTCAAAATCAGGTAAGAATTAATATTACAGCTTTAAGGCTATAAATAAGTCTGAAATCCACATGGCGGTACAGCAGGCTGAAGAGACTCAAGTGGAGTTTCTCTACGTTGCTGTCTGGAGACAGATTTCTCTCTTTGGGAAATCTCAGTCTTTATTCTAAAAGGCCTCAACTGATTGAATGAGGCTGATCCACATTATGGAGGGTAATCTGCTTTACTCAAAGTCTGCTGATTGTAAAGGTTAGCCACATCTAAAAAATATTACAGAAACATCTAGACTGGTGCTTGACCAAACTAAGCCAAGTTTACACATAAAATTAGCCACCATACATATATCCAAAGCTTGTACTAGAGAAAATCAGGTAATTTAATTATATTATTTACTGTATCTTATTTCATCTATGTATTTAATATAGTATAAATAAATATATTTTCATTTAATATAAGTTAAATAAACAATATTTTACTTTAATTTGTGGTACTAACACAAGATTCTACTTTATAATGATACATTCTCATCCCCTTTGCATCTTTCACATTAGCTGTCAGGGTGACAAGAGGTGGCAATAAAATAAACTTCTCTCTGTAATACATAGATGTAAGTTCCAATTGTTATTCCATAGAACCAAAAGTAAAACAAATGTATTTGCTTCCACCCTCAGCTAAGACTAATAAATAACAGCATTTTTTTTCTCTAAAAGCAAACATATATATGAATATCAGACATTTTAGTTTATTGGCATGCCTTTTCTTACCTCTGAAGGGAAATTATCATTTTGATACAAAATACTATTTTCTTTTATTTCACCTTCACAATAAGTATAAAAAACAACTTTAATTTTTTTTCACAAATGATAGTTAGATAAATAGATGTACAAATAGATGATCTACCAGGACTAGAAGCCACTGTAATATAAGAAGATTATTCTGAGATAAACCCCAGCATTACTTATTGCAGGATACATAAGCATAAAACACTGTGAACTGAGGGTACTACTCTATGGTTAATTAAATAGCATATCACTTCTTTCCTTGAAAGATGAATGAGATTGTTTTCATTAACTTCAAAATTCAGAGCTCCCCTAAAAGATTAGTGAGTTAATTTATGTAAGGGACTTAGAACAATGATCACTATTTTAGCACTACAATGAATCTCATACTGAAGAGGCATATATTTCCCCTAATGGACATGATGGCAGCAACTTCCCACACATATCCCATAAGTTTAAACATACATCTACTCAAGAAATTCAGTCTGGTTATTTTGAGATTTTTTTTTTCTAGAAAAATGAACTTTCCATATATATATGGAAAGATTACAGTTTTAATTAAGAATGCATTTTTTCTACTGCTCTATATATTTTAGGGGGGCCTTCAGATGACTTATCTACAATTCCAAATCTCAAGCAGCTTTTCAGAATTAAGTGGTTCAATGTGATTTTAAAGTTAAACACACCAGTTACCATTCATTACAATCTATACCAAAAAGAAGGGTAAATGCTAATTAGACTGGGAGACCTTCCAGCGGTTCTCTGGACAAAGCCAAGGTGGCAGGGCTGAGGCAGAGGTGGTTAGGGGTGGTAAGGCCAAAAGGGGAGGGAAATTAGGGGAGGTCAAGCTAGCAGAGGGGAGAGAGCAGACTGGTATGGACGGTAGTTGGGGGCAAGCAGGACAGCAGGGGTCAATTGGAGCTAAGCAGGCTGGTGGTGGGGGCGTTGGGAATGAGCAGGACAGCAGGGGGTAAGTTTTGGGCTATCAGGCCAGCAGGAGGAGGCAGTTAGGGGTGATCACCCTAGAAAGGGGGGCAGTTGGGGGCAATCAGACCAGTGGGGGGACAGTTGGGGGTGATCAAGTTGGCAAGGGGTAGTTGAGGTTGAATAGGCTGGCAGGGGGGCAGTTGAGGGCAAGCAGGACAGCAGTGGGGGCAGTTAGGGGTGAGCAGGCCAGCAAGAGGGGGCAGTTAGGGATGATCAGACTGGAAGGCGGAAGAAGTTGGGGGCAATCAGGCTAGCAGGTGGAATGGTTAGGGGCGATCAGGCAGGCAGGCAGATGAGTGGTTAGAAGCTAGTTGTCCTGGATTTCAGATTTCGAGAGGGATATCTGTCTGCTGATTTCGTCAGACATCCCCTGAGGAGTCCCAGATTGGAGAGGATGCAGGCGGGTTTGAGGGACACACCCCTGTGCACAAATTTCATGCACCAGGCCACTATGGTTATTATAAAAGTCAATAATTAGCACCTGAATATAATTTTAGATATTCACACCAAAATATAGAAGCTCAATAAAAATTCAGAATTGGTAAATTATATTAGAAAGAAAAAAACTTGCCTAGATAAGTACCAACTGAGTATCTGGAAATGTTGTCATCAAGAAAGAGTACTGTAAGGATATAAAGAGGCATTCCTGCTATTCCCTGCACAGCCTGTCCAAGTACGAAGAAAGTCATATATTTTGAGTTGAATGAAAAGGATTTGCAAGCTTTGAGATTCTTCGTTTCTTCACAAATATCTTTTGAAAGGATAATTTTAATTTTTTGTTAAATGAGTCAAAATTTAAACACACAACAATTCACAGTGTATTTTATGAAATATTTTACCTTTTATAAGATATTTCCACCATTATATTTTTTCTTTTCGTTAAGATTTCATTTACATTGAATGTAGTAGCTCTACAATTAATCAACATGTTCTCAGAAAAATGCAATGATAAAATAAAATTTGTGGGAATACTGAAAAAGATGCAAATATTATATATAAACCAAACATAAATGCATATGTATAACTATATGTATACACATACTTGTTTGTATAGGTAAATATACATATCTTAAATTTGGCATCTGATAACTCTGACTTTTGACCTAGGATAAAAGTATCCTTTTTAGGTTATCTGAATTATTAAAGATTACCTTCTGAGCTTAGTTCTATATCTACTTCTCTGACAATTAACTTTGTGTCACTCTGATTAAAATAATTTCACATTTCATACCCACTAACTTCTAAAACATATGTCCATAAGGACAAGGCATTATACCAGAGATTTTTAATGAGTGTACCATAAGAATTTTTAAAACATGCAATCCATGACTAGTTAGGGGCATTGACATCTTTTTCTTTATACTATCAAATAAACAAAATGATAATAACCAACACAACGGTAGCCATGCAGTGGGAATGAATCAAAATTATACCTATTTATTTTTGTTTCTACAACTCTGTGTTTTCTTCTTTTTTAAAATTGATCTTTGTTACTGAAAGTATTACAGTTATACTCCCCTTTTTTCCTACTGACCCTGTTTACTCCAATAGATTGGCAAAAATATATATTTTTGGAGTGCCACGGAATTTTACTAATTGGTTTATGTGTGCCATGAGATGAAAAAGACTGAAAATCACTGTATTACACAAAAAAAAATTTTTGTTAGTCATTGTATAATAATCCACTAGATTTTAAAGTTTTTTACAGGACAGCCTATTTCTTAAGCTTTTTTTTAATTCAGATGCTTATAAAACAATAGTAAATAAATGTTTGTTAGAATTGCATTTGTTATTAGCCTGGTAGATCTAAACAATGCTATTAGATCATTTTGATTATGTACATTGATTGGAACTTAACAAATGTTCTGAAAATATTACTGTGAAAAACTGGTTAATGTGTATATTGCAAAATAGTACACTAATGGAAAATTTCAGCTGGTTCAGTATTCATATGGACTATTTGATTCCATGTTAAATAGGAGGTCTCTAGAATTGTTATTCTAATCACTAATAATTCAACTTTATATAGACATATCAGTATCAACACCCTAGCCCAGTGGTCAGCAAACTGTGGCTCAAGAGCCACATGTGGCTCTTTGGCCCCTTGAATATTTAGCAAAGTCCAGCTTAGGAGTACCCTAATTAAGTTAATAACAATGTACCTACCTATAGAGTTTAAGTTCAAAAAATTGTCTCAAAAGAAATTTCAATCGTCGTACTGTTGATATTTGGCTCTGAGGACTAATGAGTTTGCTGACCACTGCCCTATGTACTTGAATTCCACTTAGCAGGTATATAGCTATTCAATTTAAACTTTCAAACACAATGAACTACAAACCTTCTTGAATTGCAATTTCAAGCATCCTACAAACATCTTTACCTTTCTAGCTCACTCCTTCTAGTAATCCAATTTCACCAATCCCTAAAACCCACCAGGACTATATAATCTATTGATCTTTCTCCTTTTCACTATCTCAAGGTCCCTCTTTACCCTTACTTCTTTCACTGTCATCATAACACTTTTAAATCCCTTGCACTCTTGTATGTCATTCAATTCCTCAATGAAATTGCAACCCTAGTCAAGTTAAACTCTTCTCCTTACTCTATACTTACACTTTAAAAATTGAATGTAGCCATAGGAAAACACACAACCATGCAAATCTCACTTTAAATTTATGATTATTAAACTTAAGGAGGTCCTTCACCCTCCTTAATAAAATATGTCCCTAATCTACTACTCTTGCCTTCTCCTAGAAAATTCAGCTTATTGGTTTCCTTTTCCTAGAGCTCACAGTCCTGATATGCCTGCTATCCAATATCTGAAAACAAATATTTTCCGCAAATAGGATAAAACTAATCTTCTAACACCTTTCTTCAGATTAAAAAAAATATTTTATTTGGACTATAGTTTCAAGAAGGGAACAGTCAGTACTACAAACACTGGGTTTGTAGTTCAAGTACTAGAACAAGTCAAAAGTTTTAATTATATTAAATGACATGAATTATGTTGGTGGCTTGGTGAAAATAACTTTATTGCAGTGTTTAAGGTTTTAAGCCACATGTGTCAAACACAAGGCCCGCGGGCCAAATCCGTCCCGCCAGGCCTTGCAATGTGGCCCGCACCGCGCTGTCATCACTGCACTCCGCTGCGTTTCCATCACAATGACAGTTTATGACTGTTCAGTAAACCATTCGGCCCGCGATTTAGGCTGGATTTTAGATTTTGGCTCCTTCTCTGATTGAGTTCGACACCCCTATTTTAAGCCATGCTCAAGTGGGTTGAAAAAAGGATATGAAATAATGTCAGAAAGCTTGGCCATGTCTTTCAAAAAAATTGTCAATTGAAAATGATGAGATTTTGCAAAGTGATAAAAGAACTGTGAGTTATATCTATTACTGTTTTTGTTTTTAAATGGTGGGAATAACTTGAGCACATTTAGGTGTCAATAAGTACCACGAAAAAAAGAAAGGAATTTGCAGAAGGAGGTACAGATCATCACTGGAATAAAGTTCCCAAGTAGGTAAGAGAGAACAGGATGTTTAGCAGGAGGATAGCTCTTTCATTTTAACAGGAATGAAGAAGTAAGGAATGAAAATATATGTGAAGTTATAGTTTCTATACTATTAGTATAAGTAAGAAATTAAGGCAATTTCTTCTTATGGCATGTATTTTCTATACAATACAGAAGATAAGTTAAGTGAGTACTATTAACTGAAGTATCCCCCCACAATTCATATGTTGAATTCCAAATTCACAATGTGATAGTATTTGGAGGTAATTAAGTCATGAAAGTAGATTATTCATGAATGGGATCAGTGCATTTATAAGATGAAACACTGGAGAGCTTGCTCTCCCTCTCTTTCTTGGCCACAGCAATATGAGGACATACCAAGAAAAGGGTCCTCACCAGGAACTAAACTGGCAGGCACCTGGATCTTGAACTCTCAGCCTGCAGAGGTGTGAGAAATAAATTTCTGTTGTTTAAGCTACCCAGTCTAAAATATTTTTGTTATAATAGCCCAAACTAATTAAAACAAGAGGAAAGTTGTGAATTATAAAAGAGAGTAGACTTTAAAAAAATGTCAGAGAATAGATTCATATAAGAACAGAATTGAGGTTGACAGTATCAAATTCATTGTGGGACTAACTGGTCCTTTTTTTTGTGATTTTCCTCTAAAATGTTCCTCAACAGTGTAGGAAAGATAACTAGTTAGATAAAAAAAATTTCCACCCAGGAACAAAATAGGACAATGGGACAGGCATTTTAGGATTATGATTAGAGTATGTTTGAAATCTTATATAATAAAGAGGTAATATGCAAATTGACTGTCACTCCAACACAAGATGGCTGCCCGTGGTCAAAGATGGCTGCCCCCAGGTGGACATAAGACAGCTGCCACAGATGGCCGGCAGAGGATGCTGAGCGATCAAGTCAGCAGGGGAGGGCAGTTTGGAGGGACCAGGCCTGCAAGGGAGGGCAGTTGAAGGTGATCAGGCCTGCAGAGGAGGACAGTTAGGGGAAACTAGGCCTGCAGGGAAGGGCAGTTGAGGGTGATCAGGCATGCAGGGGAGGGCAGTTGGGGTGACCAGGATGGCAAGGGAGAGCAGTTAGGGTGACCAAGGCCAGTAGGGGAGGCAGTTGGGGACGATTAGGCCTGAAGGGGAGAATAGTTAAGATTGACCAGAATGGAAGGGGAGACAGCAAGGGGCAATCGTGCCTGCAGGGGAGCCATTAGGCATCAATCAGGCTGGCAGGGGAGGGTTAGGGTGTGATCAGTCTGGCAGCAGAAGCAGTTAGGGGCAATCAGGCAGGCAGGCAGGCAAGCAGTTGGAAGCCAGCAGTCCCCCTGGATTGTGAAAGGGATGTCTGATTGCCCATTTAGGCCAGATCCCACCCTAACTGGGCAGTTGGACATCCCTCTAGGGGTCCCAGATTGAAGAGTGTGCAGGTTGTGCTGAAGGACACACAAACCCCTGTGCACAAACTTCATGTACCGGTCCTCTAGTACTTAATATAATATTTTATATTAAGGAATATAAATTTAAAAACTGATGAGGAGAGCCTAATTAAGGAAGAAAGTAGATATTAATAGATTTAAGCTTCTAATAAAAGAACTGTGGTTTTAATTATATGAGTGAGTTGGAAGAATGAGTGGGTATAATCAGAGAATGGGATAATAGATATTTAGGAAGTTCCTGGTGAAGTGACAGTTCACTGCAACCATGGGAATGTTAGGTGGCCAATCACATGTAAAAATCTAGAAACTAAAGATCAGAGTGTGATACAAGTGTTTCCACAGACTAATGAAGAAACTTCAGTTTTAACTGCTAAATGATTTGATGGAATATGATACCTACTTGTTGGTTGAAGCAGGCCTGAAGATCAACTTGTCCTAGGTATGGAAAACTGTGATGGGATGAGGGAGTGGCAGGTGGTGGTAAATGGACTATTTCAAAGAAAACATAAAAATTATACACACATACACACACACATACACTAATGTGTGAACAGAGTAGAAAATTGGTTATGTAAGAGATAAACATAAAAATAAAGCAATATATCTGCATAGATAGGTGTATGAAAATATCAAAGGGAAGCTCCCATTTTGAAGTGGGAGGAGTAGCTAAAAAATATCTGACCTTTCTTTATTGTGTGTAAGTTTTTTATGTTTGTATTTGTGCTTGTGTGTCTGTGTTTTGAAGTCAAAATAAGTGGATTAATTAAAGCTCCTTGTTTTGAAGTAAAAATAAATGGATTAATTAAAACACAGGAGAAATTATTGAAATTCTCAAGAAACAGATATAAAAATTGATAAAAGAAAAACAATTTCACAAAATAATTATCACAAAGCAGTCTTTGTTCTTCCTAGGCCCATCTCTTACATGAAAAATTATGATCCTGAGTAGATGAAAGAATGGACATATATTACTAGGGAGCTACAATTAATTAGCTTAATAAACTTGATCATATAAATAGATACAGGTGGATGGGTATACAGACAGACAAGTATTATAGTCTATTATAAGGTCCTAGAGGCAATGATTTAAAGGAATAAATATTTGATGTATGACAGTAACATTTAAATCTTACCTTCAGTTTCTATTTTCAATTGATAATCTTGACCCCTGAAGTATGGATAAGCAAGTAAAAGTGATCCAAATCCTACTAAAAAGGAGGAAACTGAAAGCCAACGTAGAATGTTTCCTCTCCCTCCATAGTGTGCTATAAACAATACTACCAGGCAAGATGAAATATCATAACTCGATGACAACAACATACTCTCAATGGTTTTCAGACCACTGCCCCTCTGAAATGTGTCAACGCTCACATCCATAAGAGCAAACACAATACCTAAAATGTAGAAAGAAAAAAAAGAACACAATAATATGCATTTTAAGAGACAAAACAGATCACCATTGTAAACATTACAAAGCAAAACGTAATTTACAGTGACTCAAACTTATTTCACCTTATTTAAATGTGTTTAAAATTTATGAGCATAAAATGATCCTTTTTATAAAACCCAATAAGCTTTAACATCTATGAAATATTTGCCAATGGAATTACTATATTTATTTTTTAAATAGTATATTCATGAGTAATTGATGAAGAATATGATCTTTTCAATCATCTCAGTATTAATATTTATTTTGATATTTTATATTTCAATAATAAAAGTGAATAAGTTACAATCTAATATCTATCATCCAGAACAGAAAATAAAACATAATCAAAATGGTTGAAGTCCAGCATGTACTCCCAAACATATTCTTCTCTCTCCTTCCATAACTCATATCCTATACTTGAAGTTCACCATTTCTTAGCCTTTTTAATACTTTTTTGACAATGTGTATACATCTTTTAACAATACTACTTTTTTGTCATGTTCTTGAACATGAAATAAATGGTATCATATATGCCCATGTCCATCACTTAACATCTAATGGGGAGGAAGGGGTAATCATACTAAATATTTGAAACAAAAATAAATTGACATAGAATATAGAAGATAGCTGCCGTCAGGAAGGCAGCCTACAAGATAGTGTGTGAATGAGAGAATGAAAGGAGAGTGTATGGACCTATAGGGAGTGTCTATTTGTGAGTGAGGGACACCTACATTCCAAGGGACTGTTGGGAACTTCCGTACCAGGCTCCCCTGACCAGGCAGCCTCCACTGCTGCTGAAATCTCTCCCAGAGTAACCAGCTTTGCCACAGAGACTGTGCCATCTTGAAAGGAAGAGTGGCTGTTATTGGAAGCCTAGCCTTACTATCAATTGGGAAGAATTGGATACGTCCCGGGACCCTACAACCACAACACCCACAGACAGCTGTGAACCCACAAACACCAGGTCTCAAGCAGCGCGAATACACTGACTCGGACAAGCTCTGCACCTTCTCACGGAAAGGTCAGGTTTCCCCCAGAGAAAGGTGAGTCTACAATTCAGGCTGAAGGAAGAAATGTGTGCAGCAGGATCTAGAGATTCAGAGGAAGCCTGCGCCCCACAAAACCTATGGATGTGGGGCCAGCATAGTCCACAGATGTAGAAGGGGGTCCACAGGGATGCACAGAAGGGAACTCAAGGAATAAACCAATAGCTGGGCTGGGTACAAAAAGGAAGCCTGAGGCTTTACCAGTAAATAAGCTGCACTGTGCCAGGGGAAAAAGACATGCAGAGACATGTGCAGAGTCGCACTCAGTGCCAGGGTGAAAAAATCATAAGTTTGCGCACTCACTCTGATTATTTTTTCTCTTTAAATCCTTGCTTATGATTATTAAACCCAGTACATAGGATCACCCAATAAAAAACACTCTCAGAGACTACAGGGAAAAATTGTTTTTGTGGAACCTGGGAATCAGAGCAGGGAGAAACAATCAGAAAACCAGCTCTGGGGCAGTCCATTCCTCCAAACCAGTATTAGGTGCAGCAGGGAAAACAAATTCTAAATACTGGGTAGAGAAGACTTATAGCCCCAGATGTCAATACAGAAACACCGCCACCCAGGGTTTGAATCACAAACTGACTCTTCGATAATTACAACCACAGGCAGGCTGAGTAATAAATAAATACTGTCTACTCGAAAACAAGATTGAGGCTTATGACACAGAAGAGCTGTGGAATACAGGGAACTTCAGTACTGTCCTAACTACCTGACAGGAAACAGGTGTGCCAAACAGAACAGTAGAGAAAGTGAATGACCTTCACATTTTCATTTTTTATCTTTCACTTAGGAATCTAAATTTGTTTCTTTTTCACTCACTTGATTTTACATTTTTAATTATTATATTTTTGTTTTTAATCATTATTATTACTACTATTATTTTACCTCTTTTAAAGTTTCATTTTATTTTCTCTTTATTTTATTCTGGGATTAGTGTTCTACATTATATTTTAATTTTTCCTTTAGCATCATTTTACTCTATCTCATCTTGACCTTTATGCCAACTTTTTCCCCGTTGTTGTCCTATTTCCCTTACCCTATTTCTGCTTTAGATTTTTCCTATTCCTTCTTTTTCCCTATTGTTGTCCTATTTCCCTTACCCTATTTCTGCTTTAGATTTTCCCTATTCCTTCTTTTTACCCCATGCTAAAAATCCATTCTACTAATATATATATATATATATATATATATATATATATATATATATATATATATATATATAATTTCAAATCCCTTGTTCCAAGTTCATATACACTTCTCTCTTCTCTTTCCTCACTATCCAAATTTTTTCTCTTCCCTTTTTCTTAATTTGTTTTTTGTTTTATTTTGTTTTGTTTTGCCCTTCTTTCTGTCCTATTGTTGTTGTTTGTTGATTAGATTGTTTTTGTTTGTTTGTTTGTTTGTGTGATTGTTTCACTACTTTTTTGCTTCTGTTTTTCCTCTCCTCACTTATTATTAGTTGTTATTTGTAATTTGCATTCATATCTGGGTATTAGTTGTTTGTATTTTTTTGGATTAGTTGTAGTTCTATTGGAGTTTTATCCCCATATAGTTTTTTTCCCCTTCTTTTTTATTCTCTTTCTTTTCTCTCTTACTTTTTTCCCTATTCTCAATGTAAGTTTTGCACTCTTTAAAAAACAAACAAACAAACAAACAAAAAAGACCCTAATTCTTTTTTCTCTAGTGGTCAACTTTATTTGGGGTTATTAGTATCATGAAAACATGTAAGTTCAGTGCCTTGTGCATTGTGCCTTGTTGTGTTGTGTTTTGTGCCTTTAAGTAAATGCAGGTGAGAGAGAGCTACATAACCAGACACCTAGAGAGGAGAGATTATGAGGAGAGACAAAGAAACAGTTCACATATGAAAGAAAAGTAGGCATCACTAGAAAAGGAAGTAAACCAAATGAAAGCAAGCAAAGAGAAAGAATTCAGATAAATGGTCACGAGGTCTCTGAAATGGTTGGAAGATAAATTCATCAATATGTTTAAGAAACAAGAGGAAATGAATAAGAACCAAGAAGAAATGAAAAATGACATCACTGCAATAAAGAACTCAATAGAAAGCATCAACAGTAGACTAGAAGAAGTAGAGGACTGCATCAGTGCGCTAGAAGATAAGATAGGAAAAAAACACCCACACATTTAGAAAAAAAAGCTTAAAAAATATGGGGAGATCCTAAAGGAACTTTGGGACAATGCAAAACAAAACAATATCCACATAATAGGGGTGCTAGAAGAAGAGGAAACAAAGTCATTGAAAGGAAGGGTCTAAATCCAAGAATACTGTACCCAGCAAGACTATCAATCAAGCCGAAACCGGTTTGGCTCAGTGGTAGAGCGTCGGTCTGTGGACTGAAAGGTCCCAGGTTCGATTCCGGTCAAGGACATGTACCTTGGTTGTGGGCACATCCCCGGTAGGTGATGTGCAAGAGGCAGTTGGTCGATGTTTCTCTCTCATCGATGTTTCTAGCTCTCTATCTTTCTCCTTTTCTCTCTGTAAAAAGTCAATAAAAATATATTAAAAAAGAAAAAAGACTATCAATCAAAATTAAGGGTGAAATCAGAAGCTTCATAGAGAAAAAAGGACTAAAGGAGTTTATTACCACCAAACCAGCAATGCAAGAAATGCTAAAGGGTCTGGTGTAAAAAGAAGAAATAGGAAGTGAAGAAGGAACACAGTCATAAAAATAAAAATGGCAACAAACAAGTACCTATCAATAATAATTTTAAATGTAAATGCATTAAATTCCCTAATCAAAATACATAGGGTAGCTGAGTGGATAAGAAAATAAGACTCATACATCTTCTATCTCACCCACTTCAGAAAAAAAGGATTCACACAGACTAGTGGTAAAGGGATGGAAAAAGGTATTTCAGGCAGATTGCTCCTAACCACTTCTGCCTGCCTGATGGAAATGAAAAACAAAACAAAACAAAAAAACAGAAATAGCAATACTTACCATATTTTTCGGACCATAAGATGCACTTTTTTCCCCCCTAGAAGTGGGGGTAAAAAGTCCCTGCGTCTTATGGTCCAAATATAGCCTACACATATACTTAAAAAAAAAAGTTTTTTTACTTGCCCGGCTCTGTGTGGTCTCTGTGTGCTTGCCCGGCTCTAAAATGGTTCTAAATGCTGCTGTTTACTTTACAGGGTTGATTACATGTGTTTATGACTGTGATGTTGGGTTTTAATGCACATAAAATATTTTAGGACACTATTTGTTTCAGAATCTTTTTTTCTTCATTTCCCTTCTCTAAAAACTGGTGCGTCTTATGGTTCGGAGCATCTTATGGTCCGAAAAATACGGTATATCTGACAAATTAGATCTCAAAGTGAAGGACCTAACAAGAGAAAAGAGGGCCACTTCATAATACTAAAGGGAGTAATCCAACAAGAATATATAACTCTAGTAAATATATATGCACCCAATACAGGAGTACCCAAATACATAAAACAAAAACAAACAAACAAAAAACTTCTGGATGATATCAAGGGAGTGATTGACAGCAATACAATCATAATAGGGGACTGTAATACCCCACTAACAACACTGGACAATTCCTCCTAAATGACACACTAGATCAAATGAAATTAATTGACATCTTTAGAACATTTCACCCCCAAAGCCACAGAGTATACATTTTTCTCAAGTGCACATGGATCATTTTCAAAGACAGACCATATGCTGGGACACAGGCAAAGTCTTTGAAAATTCAAGAAGACAGAAATCATATCAAGCATCTTCTCAGATCACAATGGCATAAAACTAGAAATCAACTACAATAAAAACAATTTTAAAAAACCAAACAGCCTGGAGGCTATATAGCATGCTATTAAACAATGCCTGAGTTACCAGAGAGATCGAAGAAGAATTAAAAAACATTATGGCAACAAACGACAATTAAA